TCTCCAGCCCCTTCCCTCTTGCCCCTGCCCCTGGCTGGAAGATGCTCTGTAGCTTGTGAAGCCACCAAGGATGCCTGACCCTGGGCCCTGGGCCCCCTGCTCTCCCAGTGGATGTCAGTCCCCTTCCAGCCACCCAAACCCTGAAGGAGGGCTGGCCCTTCCCGAGGAGAAAAAGCAAGAGGCTGAGTGCCCGGCTTGGAGATGGAGGACATGAGGTCCCTGGGTCCCTCCCGGGGGCGTGGCACTCTCTCAGGAGCTCCAGAGGTCAGCGCTGTTGGGCCCAAGGACCAAAACACTCCTGCTGCCTCAGCGGCCTGCCTAGACTCAGCCCTCAGAATCCCCCTTTCTGGACCCACAGCCCAGCCACTGCTGGCCCTCCCCTCCCCCCATCCCACCCTACTGCTTGTGTTCTGATCTCTGTTCTTCTAAGAAGCACCTCTGCACTGCCCACAGTGTTCCCATCCGCGTCCCAGGCCTGTGGCAGCATTAGCAAGTTGAAAACCCAATTACATTGCAATTACTCTAGTCCTAGCCAGACAGAGGTTACTGTAAGTCACACTGGAATTGGGAGGGAGGGGCAGGTAGCAGCTGGGGCCAGTGCCCCAGCTGACACTTAACGATAGATGTGACAGGGACCTGTGGCTCAGAGGCTCAGGATTAGCTCAACAAGGCTGGAGCTGGCTGGTTCCAGGAAGGAGGTCGTGTGGCTACCAGTTGACTGACAGCTCGGGCAAAGCACAGGCTTCAGGCTGGCTCTCCCCAGGCGCAGGAGGCTCCAGGGCTGAATGCCTAGCCTGGAGATGGAGGACATGAGGTCCCTGGGTCCCTCCCCTGGGCACAGGGGCTTTGCCAGGAGCTCCCAGAGGCAGTGTTTTGGGCCCAAGGAGCAAACCATCCCAGCTCCTTGTGGAGCCCCTCTTGGGACCCCAGGGTTTCTCTGAGCATGCACCCAGGGGTCTCTCCCTCATGCTCACCTGGGCTGAATAACTGGTGTCTCTCATCCTCAGGCCATGGCTGAGAGAGCCAGACTCAGGACCAGAGAGACCTAGGGGCCCAGAGCCTCCTGCCTGGCCAGGGTCTGATAGGATGTCCTGGGGAGCAGCCATCTAGGGGACCAAGGGATGAAGAGGTGGTTTGGCAATTGGGATCCCTCTTAAAGGGAGATAGGACGGGCTTCATGAATTTGGACATTGTGGGTGTGGGGATGGATTTTCAGTTACCACTCCTTCCCCACACAGACACTCGCACCCCGATGTGTAAAGATTTGGGGTGACCTGGGGAGCCCCTTGCTCACTCCAACCCAGAGTGTCTGGGAGGCCCTGAATTCCAGTGTTCTGAGCTCCGGGCTGGGTTCTAAGTCTGGGCTGTGCTGGGCTCAGCCGCTGCCCACCGCCCACGCAGACACACATGGGTCTGTACCTTTCACATCACCGGCTGCACCCTGTTGGCTGCAGTTGTCATTTGACGGCCCCCACAGGGTCTGCTTCCCATCCCCCCATGTACAGCAGCCCCCTCCCCAGCCCCGACAGCAAACCGCCACAGCTGTAGCTGGGGGGGTTAATGTGGAGGGATTAGATGAGTCATCGCTGTGGGGGCAGACGCACCGAGTTCCACAGATACACATTCACAGAGCCATGGACACAAAGGCAGGCACACACTCACATTCTCACACTCACAGGGGAACACACTAGCCAATGCCATTCAAAGTCACAACTGCACATTCAGACACAGAGAGAGATACCCACCTCCCACACACATACACTCCTCACAGACACAAACACCAACACACACAGAGACAAATCAAGACGGATACTGACACCTCCCACCCGGGGTGAGCCCCAGTCACCAACCCAGAGCTTGTCCCCTACCCATATGCACACTCGGAGACACAAAGACACACACAGTCAAACATTGGATTCCCCAGACGCACACTCATAGCCCTTACTTGAATACCGACACACACACACACACACACACACACACGCCAGCCTCTCCTCTCTCAAGTCCCCTCATCCCCCTCCCTCTGCCGGCACTCGGGCAGGCAGGACAGAGCTCTGGACCCACGGGGATGCTGTGACCCATCCCCCGCTGTGCGGATGCTGCACCCACCCAGGGACAGAGTTCTGCCCTGGGGGAGCTTCTGTCCTCCCTCCCGTTCTGGGGAGCTGAAGGAGTCGCCGGCGGGTCCCCTGTGCTGCCCCAGCCCCCCTCCCACACACTCTAGGCCTAAAAGCGCATCTCCAGCTCCTTTGAAAAAGGGCTTTGGTTGCAACAGGGAAGATGGAGCTTACATCTCAGGAATCAGCTCCCAGGAGGGAAGGAGTCTCCGAGGTGAGAGAGGAGAGTGGCTCTGATGTGTTAGAAAGGTCCTGTCCTGAGGCAAGGGACAGCTAAGGTGACTGCCTGATGCCCAAGAGGTCACCCTTCCCCCACCTGTGATTCCTGGAGGGCCTGACCTTTACGCCTGTGCACCTGCTCTTTCCTCTCCCTTGCATCCTCTTGCTGCTTCCACAATCCCCCCTGCAGGGCTACCCTCACATCCTTCAGGTCTCCACGTTCCTGCTCTAGGAAGCCTGTCCTGACGCCCTGGCTGAGTCCATCTGTCCTTCTGTGCCCCACAGCCCCTTGGGTCCCCTCATAGCTCTCCTCACACCATAGAGGCCTTGCCTGGCTGTAAGCCCACCTGCCTCCAACCAGCCTGCACCCATCTGGAGGGCAAGGCGCCTCTGTCTGGTGAGGGAGACGGGTAGACCTGGAGAGGAGCACAGGCTTGACTTCCAGCTCTGCCTCTGCTGTGTGACCCTGGGCAAGTCACTGAGCCATGTGAGCAGAGTATCCTTATCTGTAAAATGGAAACAGTAACAACTGCCTCACTGGGTTGACCTGAAGATTAAATGAGACATGCATGGAGGAGACTACACAGTGGCAGCTATATTATAGCTCATTGTCTGGCACACAGCTTAGCAAATGTTTGTTGAATTAATCAGGCCCTCTGGCTCCCACCCTCTTGCTTTCACCTGCGGTCCCTGTCTTGGGAGGGAGAAAGCACGAATGACCAAAAAGGATTGGGAGACAGATAGCATCGGCGGCTGGGAGATGGGCCGGCGGGGCCTCCGGCATCGCTGGGAACTAGCTGCTCCAGCAGCAGCCGGAGCTCGGCGGGAGGCGGCGCAGGCTCCGTCTCTCACCCCTGTGACCCACCTGTGCCATCATCCTCGTCAGCTAGGTGAGGCAGCGAGGAGAGGCGGAGCTGTGATCCACCTCCGCACTGAGGATCTCCGAAGCTGCCCCGGGCCGGCCGGCACACAGTAGGTGCGCTCTGAATGCAGACTGGCCGGAGGCATAAATATTGAATGAACGCGAACGATATGAATGAACGGATGGACGCATGAATGGAGGTGGGATGGAAGCGTGAAGTGGGAGGTGAGGAGGAACGAGCATTTCCCTCCGCCCTCCTCGTCTGGGCCTGGGAGGCATGAAGCCGAGACCTGCTGGGGGCTCTCCTCCCCGCCCTGCCCCTCCCGCTGCGGCCCCCCCTCCCCGCGGCGCGCAGCCCGGCGGAGCCCGCGCGGAGCCACAGCCCGCGTTGGAGCCGGGGCTCGCGCCCAGCCGAGCGAGCCGAGGCAGCGCAGCCTTGGGAGGGGGCTGCCCCGGCCCCCTCCTCCAGCCCCAGTCCCCAGGAGCCCGGCCTTCGGGGCAGGGCGGCAAAGTCCCCGGTGCAAAGTGCGGGGACCAGCAGCCGAGGACGCCGGGGTCCCGGAACCAACAGGTGCGGGGCGTTAGGGAACCCCAGGCCCGGGGTGGGTGTTCCAAAGGACCCACGGCGGGAACCAAGAGTCTTTGGGGAATAATCTGGGTGCTGGGAGGCTGGGTCTCCAGCAGGCTCTGCCCTCCTCCCGGCAGGCTCCTGCAGAACCCCTAGCGCCCTCGCTCCCCCAACCCCTTGCAGCCCCCCACAGCCCCCCACAGCCCCCGAGGTGCAGGGAGGTCCCGCTGAGGGAGTGGGTCCGCCAGCGCTCAGTGGGGGTATGGAGTCCTTCCCCCTCCCCCTGGGGACCCGCAACCCTCCTACACGCGTCCGGGGTCGTCGCTGCCCAGCCTGGGGAAGGAGGGGTCTGAGCAAGCCAGGAGGGGCGGGGAGCGAGGCCGGATTTATGAATGGAGAGAGCGGCCTGCCCACCGGCCCAGCGACCCCTGGTGGCTGCCGGGGCGCACCGCGGCCCCGGGGATTCAGGGGGGTGCCTAGTAGGGGCCTGAGAGGCCTGGCTGCTGGGACTGGGGCTCTCCCCTTGCTTCCAGGGAGGTCGTCAGTTCCTCCCTGCATCCCTTCACTGTCTCTGTGTGTGTGTGTGTGTGTGTGTGTGTGTGTGTGTGTCCCACAGGGGAGGATCTGGCAGGTCTGGTGGGCGGGGCCCGGGTCTCGGCCCGCCCTTGACCATTTTTTTCAACCGAAAACTCAGGCCTGTGGACTAACACAGGAGAAAACATTTGCAATCGGGATGGCATCCCCTCCCAAATATGTGGTGTTGGGTGGATTCAGACAGACCTGGCATAGTAGCTGTGTGACCTTGAGGAAGGGGTTCAACCTCTCTGAGCTTCCGTCTTCCCGTCGTCAGGCAGGGTTCCCTAATAAGGGTAACCGGTAATGGCCGTGAGGCTGGCTTCCCCTGCCAGTTTCTGGGCAAAGCACTTGACGTGCATTAGAGCTCATTACTCCTCACCCCAGCCCCAGGTACAGCTATTGTTCTATTGGACAGATGGGGAAACCAAGGCTGAAAGGGGAGAGGTACGTTACCCAAGAGCAGTTTGTATGGACTTGGGATGCAGGCCAGGTCTGTCTCTCTCCACCGATAACCCACACCACTGTGAGAATTAAGAGGGAGCTTATATGCAAATTGCCTGGCACACTCCCTAATGTTTCCTTTCTTCCTTCTTCCCTCCCTTCCTCCAGGAGGTTTGGGGCTAGGACCCCAAAGACCTGGGTGCAAGACTTTGGGTCCCCTGAAGGAAGTGGGCTGAGGCCTGGCCCACGCTCCCCTCACTCGCAGAGCCCAGGATGCTCCTGGGTGGCAGTGGCTCCTGAGCTCATGGAGCCCTCAGCCACCCCAGGGGCCCAGACGGGGGTCCCCACTGGCAGCGGGGAACCATCCCCGGTGCCTCCTGACTACGAGGACGAGTTTCTCCGCTATCTGTGGCGTGATTATCTGTACCCGAAGCAGTACGAGTGGGTCCTCATCGCAGCCTACGTGGCTGTGTTCCTCGTGGCCCTGGTGGGCAACATGCTGGGTAGGTCTCTAGGTCCCCGTGGTGCTCTGGGCTTCCCCTGGGGACTGGCAGGGGTCCCAGGCCTCTCCCCTTCCCCCCAGCTCCTACCTCTGGTTTGCCGGTAGTGTAGGGGAGGGGGCTCCCCGATGGGTGTGGCTCTGCCCTGGCTTTTCCTCATCCTGGCCCCACCCCACAGTCTGCCTGGCGGTGTGGAGGAACCACCACATGAGGACGGTCACCAACTACTTCATCGTTAACCTGTCCCTGGCCGACGTGCTGGTGACGGCCATCTGCCTGCCTGCCAGCCTGCTCGTGGACATCACTGAGTCCTGGCTCTTCGGCCACACCCTCTGCAAGGTCATCCCCTATCTACAGGTGAGCTCTGCCCAGGTGCCCCTCATCACCCCGCTGTCACATCAAGTGCTAAAACCATGGCCTCGCATAGGTCTCAGTGACCCCCAGACTCACCTTTCAGACAGGACACGGTGGCTCAGTACCTCTACAGTGTCATCCTCCACTGTCAGTAAGGGCAGGCCACCAGGCCAAGACTCGAGGACACAGACACAGCCCCACATACTCATACAGAGATCCCCTCCTGGTCACACCCACAGACATATACATAGCCCTGTGTGGGCACAGGTACGGTCACCTCCAGGTACATGGGCACACGGTGGAGGAGAGGCACAAGCCCACAGTGAGAGATACAGTAGACACTGGGCCTGCCTCCTGATCCCAAGGGGGGCAGATTTGAGGGGGCCTGCTGGAAAGAGTCTCCTCCCCTCCCCTTCCACCTGTGGCCAGGCCCTTCCCTTCCCCCATGGTGGAATCAGGATGTCCAGATGGGTTAGTGGGGCAGAAGGAAGGCTGGTTCTTTAATTGCATCCTTTGACACTTTCCCTGTACCCCAGGGGGCCGGGTCACTCCGGGAGGCAGCGCCTACCTACAACTCTGGCCTAGACTCATCTCTGCCTCCCAGAATGAGGCCTCTTTTTCCTGACAGTCTGGGCAAGGGCTGGCACCCTAGGGCAGAGAGAAATGCCTCTTGGATTTCCCACCGTTTTGAGGTTTTCCCCCCAACTGGTTAACTCTGGCATTGCTGAGAATAAAGATAGGCAGGCAAGGAAATTCACCTTAGGCAAAGTATTTAACCTTTCTATGTGTCAGTTTCTTCATCTGTAACATGGGAGTAAGAGTACCCACCTCATGGGATTGTTGTGAGGATAATGAGAACAGTCTGGCACATAGTAAATTCCATAAGTGTAAGTTATTATTCATAGTGTGTGCCAGGTCTCGAGCTGGACATTTTCCATCTACGATTTCATTTATTCTCACAAGAATCCTGACAGGCGGATGGTATATTCCCATTCTGCAGATGAGGCTCAGAGAGGGTGAGTGATTTGCCCAAATCTACATAGCCAGTAAGTGGCGGAGTCAGGATTTGCACTGCACCTGGCCGCCCGGTGTTTCCGGGCTGTGAGCCCCATCACTCATCCCACGTCTCTGGGTGGCCCCCAAGAGGACTGACCCTGTGTCCCCCTGGGGCAGGCCGTGTCTGTGTCAGTGGCAGTGCTGACTCTCAGCTTCATCGCCCTGGACCGCTGGTATGCCATCTGCCACCCGCTGTTGTTTAAGAGCACCGCCCGGCGTGCCCGCGGCTCCATCCTGGGCATCTGGGCTGTGTCGCTGGCTGTCATGGTGCCCCAGGCTGCTGTCATGGAATGTAGCAGTGTGCTGCCTGAGCTAGCCAACCGCACCCGGCTCTTCTCTGTCTGTGACGAACGCTGGGCAGGTAATGGCGGGAGCCTTGGGCAGGCATCCCTGAATGGGCACCTCTAGGTTACAGACCCCTAGGGCAGGCATCTGTCAGGGCACTTCTGGGGTGGGCACTGCCAAGGTGGATATCTCCCAAAAGGACACCCTAGAGCGGGTATCTACCAGGTGCACCCCCAGGGTAAGTAACCCCTTGATGGACACCGTAGAGCTGGCATCTACCAGGGATACCTCTAGGGTGGGTACCTTCTCTAGTGTAGACATCTGCTAGGGGTCCCTCCAGGATGGACACCCCCAGGTTGGGCAACTCCAGCGTCTCTCTGCCATGGTGTCTGTATGGGGCCCAGCTGCCCCCAGGCCTTGCTTTGGCCCTAGTTGGGGCAGGGTGGCATTGCTAAGCAGGGAGGCTCCCAGATTGGGCCCAACCCTTGCGTCTCTTGGCCCCTGCAGACGACCTGTATCCCAAGATCTACCACAGTTGCTTCTTCATTGTCACCTACCTGGCCCCGCTGGGCCTCATGGCCATGGCCTATTTCCAGATCTTCCGCAAGCTCTGGGGCCGCCAGGTGAGGCCCACTCCGGTGTCACTGTCTGGGCTGGGAGGGGATAGGGGTCTAAGGGAGTAGACAGTTCTCTACCTTTAGAACATGCCATCCTGGCTGCAACCAGAGAGAGGCAAGGCCCAGGGACATGTCAAACTCAAGGCTGAAAATGCTAGGCTGAGCCTGGAACTGAGAGGTGACTAACACTGTTCTAATATGGGTAGCTGCCATTTCTTGTACCACATGCTCCGGCTGGTCTTGCATCCTCTTAACCACCATATATTATCCCCAACTTAGTACATGAGAAAACTGAGACCGGAGAGGCAAAGCAACTTCCCCCAATCCCTCAGCCAGTGAGTGGAAGATTGGGGACTAAAACCCAGATCTGTGGGACTCCAATGCTGTTCAGTGCCGCAACAATAATAAAAATAGCAGCTCTGTGTGGCTTGCCAAATTGCACACAATGTCTTCACAACTATCTAACCAAAGAAGCAATATTACCCACTTTACAAATGCTGAGGACGGACAACCAACTTGCCAAAGCCCAACAAGTGGCAGAGCCTTTCTGTTCAGGGCCTGCCTTCTTTCCTCCATTACAAACTTACCCATAGCAGGTTTCGTGGGGTTTTTGGTGGTTTTTTTTGCAGGGGGAGGAGGGTGCTCAGGGGCCCTTGGCACTAGTGGGAGTAAGTCCTGGGTCAGTGCCCGGGCAGTGAGAGGATGCAGGCCAGAACATGACCAGCCTTGCAGTCCACCAACACTTCCCATCTGCTCCTCGTGGCCCCCTAATCAAGATGGCAGGAGTCACTGTCCTCATCTGACAGACAGGAAACCAAAGCTCAGAAAAGGAAAGTAAGTTGACCAAAGTCACAGAGTTCATGAATGGCTGAGCTGGCCCAAGACCCCATTTCCTGAACGCTAGCCCCGTGCCCCTCTGTTGTGGGAATTCATGTGTCCAGTGCTTGGAGAGGCTTCCAGATATCTGTGGCTGCTCCAGGAGCCTAGAACTATCGCAGGCTTATGGGCACCAATCTAGGCTGGGCCCTGTACTGTGAGGCCCAAGCCATTCCACGCTGCCCACCTGCTCACCCCTTGTCAAGGCCTCCCCACAGTCAGGCATGGGCCAGGGGGAGGCACAACTCGCTCCCTGCCCTCACTCCCAAACATGGAAGTGGTGATTTAAGGAGGATGGATGGGCAGCAGGAAGGATGCTCAGGCCCCGCTGTGGCCTGGGGCCTTGTCAAGGGGCCCCTGCCTCTCTGAGTTTCAGTTGCCTTCTCTATAAGGAAGGGCCAATAATACCTTCCCAGAAGGCACGTTGCGGGTGGTCTCACAGTGAGCTAATGCAAAGTGAAAGTACATTGTTCAGTCTCGGTCCAGAGTGTTGGTCTTTACTGTGAATACCAGGTTCCTCCCTACTGCAAGGGTTTGTTCCCTTCACCCACCTCCACCTGCCCCAGGGTCCAGCCCGGAGCAGGGCCCAGCAAAGGAGAACCACACTCCCAAGGAGCTCCCCCCACCGCTGCTGTCTCTGTGTGTGCTGGACAGATCCCTGGCACCACCTCGGCCCTGGTGAGGAACTGGAAGCGGCCCTCAGACCAGTCGGAGGACCAGGGGCAGGGCCCGAGCGCAAAGCCCCCGCCTCGGGCCCGTGCCTTCCTGGCCGAGGTGAAGCAGATGCGAGCTCGGAGGAAGACGGCCAAGATGCTGATGGTGGTGCTGCTGGTCTTTGCCCTCTGCTACCTGCCCATCAGTGTCCTCAATGTCCTCAAGAGGTGAGAGCACGGGGAGTGTTTGAGGGTGGGGTCAGAAGATGGAGGTCTCTCTGCTCTGGAGAAAGACCTGGCTCCACTGCTCATCCACTGTGTGACCTTGGGGCAGGCCATTTCTCTTCTCCGAGCCTCAGTCTCCTCATCTGTAAATAATGACAGTCCTGGCCTCCTAGGGCTACTGTGAAAATTCATTCACCCATTCACTCAATCATCAGACGGTAGGGGCTGGGGACACAGTGAACAGTGCACAAGACCAAGTCCCTGCCTTCACAGAAGTTACACCTAGCGGGAGAGAAAAATAAAGATATGTATCATAATGTCAGGCAGTGATAACTGCTCTGAAAAAAAGTAACATAGGGAAAGAGGATAGAGAGTGACAGTGACAGGGGTTGGTAGGTTGTTTTTTAAAAAATCTTTTTTTAGATATAATGGCTTAAAAAAAAAAAAAAGGCCTCTCTGAGGAAGTGACATTTGAGCTGAGACTTGAAGGAAGGGAGGGACCAAGCCCTGCAAGTGTCCGGAGGAACAGCCCTCTAAGCAGGAGGAACACAGGGCCAACCAAGTGAGAGGCCACCGGGTGCCGGGAAAGAACGTGGGCTAGTGGGCATGAGATAATGTCAGTGCGAGTTTGTGCTCAGCCACTTCCTGGCTGTGTGATCTTGGGCATGTCACTTTACTTCTCTGAGCCTCCGTTTCCCTATGTGAAAAATGGCTGATGTCTGCGACTCATCATGTTGCTGTGAGGATGGATGAGAAAGTGGAGGAGGAGCCCCAAGGGATCCCATAGCCAGTGACTGAGCAGATGTACCTGCTGCCAGATGTGAATGGGCCCACTGAGTCATACTCTCTGTGCTCAAGAACCCAACTGTGGTAAAGACCACAGACCCAAAGGCCCAGGAGAGGATGGAAGTGGGCAGTGGGAACTCTTGTACTTTATAGCCCTGCAGCTTGAGTTCTATGAGCAACACCATATAAACACACACACACACCTACCCCACTTCTGACTGTCCTGCCCCCTTGTCCTAGGGTGTTCGGGATGTTCCGGCAAGCCAGTGACCGGGAAGTCGTCTATGCTTGCTTCACCTTCTCCCACTGGCTGGTGTACGCCAACAGCGCCGCCAACCCCATCATCTACAACTTCCTCAGTGGTGAGTGGGCTGGGCAGGCAGAATGACAGAGGGTGGCCACAGTGCCCGGGACAGTAGTCGCTCCATCCCCAATCCAGGCTGAATAAAGGATGGCAGGAGGATATACCTGCTCCCCCGATGGGGATCATGACCTTCCTCTGGGAATTCCCACTCAGGCGGAAGACTTGGCCCCACCCAGAAGCCCTGGTCTGAGTGGGAGACAGGCCACACTCCCAACAGTGGCCAAAGAAAGCTGAGCAGCACCTAGGGTCCAGTGTTCCAGATTATGCAGACCAGTGAGTGGGTGGGAAGGGCAGGGGGTAGGCCAGCTCCTCTCCACCCCTGCCTGGTGCATGCACAGCAGGATCTCCAATCAGCCCCCGTCTGGTCACCACAGGCTCCAGAGGGAGCCAGGCCTGCAGGAGGAGGGCCTGGGAGCCCCTGCCTGAGAGAATGACTGCACAATCGAGGCATCAGGGCTAAGGGAGGGTCACCAGCACAGGCAGCCCAGGGCCAGGAAAGGGCTTTCCCAGGCCTAGCTAGACACACATTGGCAGAGTGGCCAGAATTTGGGGGGCTATCCTTGGCTCCACCTGCCTCTAGCACCAGCCCTCTCACTCTCCCATCTGGAAGTCCAGGCATCCCAGGCCCCCACCCCACCCTAGGCCTCCTCTCCCAGCTGTCCCACGGGCTCCTTCCCCTCCGTCTACCTCCTAGTCTCAGGGTGCTAATGCCCCCACCCCACCCTCCACTTGGCTTAGCAGAAGTTTAACTCACCAGACCTCCGACTTTAGGACTAGGCCTAAAGAACTGGTCCAGATGACTGCTCAAGCCTGGACACAAATAATCTTTGAGAAAAGGTTGCAAGGTTAAAGAAGTCACTGAGACTGAAGAATTACTCAGCCAAGGCTAGCCAGGTGGGTTTCCAGCTCAGGGGAGAGAACAGAAGAGATGAGCGCTGCAGGGAGGAAGTGTCAGACAGGCTCCCTGACGTGAATTCCTCTGCTTGGTCTACATTTACTGAGCGCCTACTGTGTGCTTGGCTCTCCAGTGGGCGCCAGAGAGGCTGGTGGGATGATGAAACACGATCAAAGAGGTTTCAGTGCCAGATAAAATCTCTGTCTCCCTTGGCTGAACAAGGTGGCTGTGGTAGTCTCTCCTTCCCAACTCGGTCTTCCCCTTTAAGCAAAGGGCTTTGGAATTAGAACCGGGTCCAACTTCTGGCTGGATGACCTTGGGCAAGCCACTGCACCTCTGTGTGTCTTATCTGTGAAGTGAGGATAAAGGACTCCAGCCTCTCAGGCGGCTGGGATGACCTGGGAGACAAGCTCAGGCACCCAGCACAGCGCCTTACGCAAAAACTGCTGCTGGGGGCCGGCATCGTGGCTTAGCGGTTAAGTGCCCGCGCTCCGCTACTGGCGGCCCGGGTTCGGATCCCAGGCTCGGATCCCGGGCGCGCACCGACGAACCGCTTTTCCGGCCATGCTGAGGCGGCATCCCACATACAGTAACTAGAAGGACGTGCAACTATGACATACAGCTATCTACTAGGTCTTTGGGGAAAAAAAAGGAGGATCGGCAATAGATGTTAGCTCAGGGCTGGTCTTCCTCAGCAAAAAAGAGGATTAGCATGGATGTTAGCTCAGGGCTGATCTTCCTCACACACACACACACACAAAAGCTGCTGCTGCTGTCATTTTCATCACATGGGGCAGAGATGGGGAAAGCCCAGCCGCAGATGGGGAGCCCCAAGCCCCTCCACCTACACGCTAAGGAGGGCAGAGGTGACCTGAGGCCCCAGAGCCAGACACCATGTTTTGAGCTGGACTTGAAGCCAGAGCGCAATCAAGGAATCAGATGAAAATTGAGTTTCTCCTTGGGAAACTGCTCCATGGCCTCTGTCCTCACTCTCCCTGGCAGTGATGAGGTCGCCTTGGGGCTGTCTCCATCCCAGCTCTACCCTTCCTTCCTGCTCCCTCACAGGCAGCTTGGCTGGAGCTGCATGGGTGTCCCCGGGCCCAAAGCCCTTCCCTGCTGCATCCATCTCCTTATGGCTGTGTCTTCTGTCTCCCAACCAAGGCAAATTCCGGGAGCAGTTTAAGGCCGCCTTCTCCTGCTGCCTGCCTGGCCTGGGTCCCCGCTCCTCTGCCAGCCACAAGTCCTTGTCCTTGCAGAGCCGATGTTCCGTCTCCAAAGTCTCAGAGCACGTGGTGCTCACCACCGTCACCACAGTCCTGCCCTGAGCGAGGGCTGCCCTGGTGGCTCCAGGTGGTGCAAACTGTTCCCAGCCGGGGCTGCTCCTCTGGCTCCTGGGGGACCTGCCCCTACTCCTTGTGGAAAGACTGCTGGAGGCAGTGGGAGGCCGGGGCTCCAGTCCTGGTTTTCCACCTGTTTGACTCTGGGCAAGTCACTTGCCTTCTCTGAGCTGTGCCCCCTACACAGGAGCATGCTCAAGAAAATGGAAAGCTCTCTCTAAACTGTAGAGTGTTGTCGACAAGATTGTTTTGTATTCCTCCCACTTGGCCATACCTCACAGTACCATCCATCCCCATCATCCTTCCAGAGCTTGGCCTTCCTCCCAAAGACTCCTCTCCTACCCAATTACAGGCCTCCCCTGGAGTCTGCTGTAAGGGTCCCAGCAGGCATTTCCATCTGGCCCAGTGGCTCCCGAAAGCTCAGGCTGCTCTTGCCAGCTACTCTGAGGTGTGTGTGAGCTAATCTGGGCTCAGCCCTTCCCCAGTGGGAACACAGCCCCACCCTCACCAGGTGCCAAGTGCACGCACCATAGACTGGACCCTGTTCGCTTTGTGGTGTGATAAAACACTCTCCATGTGGCCATTTGGCATGGAGGCCAGCAGCCTGACGCAACTGTAATTAAAAGCCTGGCACTGAATGTTCCCTTTCCTTGTCATTGCACAAAATCTGTGCTGCTCAGGTTAGGATGAGAAGGTGGGGGAGTTGGGGGAGGGGAGAAGACAAGGCAGCACTGGAATGCTGTTATCTGCTGACCACTCCCGCCTCCCATCCCCCACACACCGGATCCAATGGGCTCCTAGCCAGGCCTCAGAGTGCAGGCGGGGCTGCCTCCTCACCTGGTGCCAAACCTCTGATGCCCAGGATCTCGATCCTTGACACATCTGTCTGCTCACGGGCCCAGCGGCCTATGGAAGGTAAGGGGGTAGGGTGGGCAGACACCAGGGTTAGCAGACTGATTCACCTTCTTGGAAATCAGGGCTTGCATTTCTTTTCTATGAACTCACAATATAAAAAGAGAAAGCCACAGACTTGGCTAGACATGCTCCGCCTGCCACCCAGATGATTAGAGGGCTGCCAGAGGCCCTGATCCTTGGTGCCAGAGCAGGAGGTAGAGCGAAGTACTACTCTGCTGCGAGAAGCAGGAGACATCTGGCAGAGGCCAGCTCAGCCGTGCACACAACCAGGTCTGCTTAACTTGATTAATGGAGCTGCAGGCTCCCTCTGACCTCACCCATCAAGCAGTGGGGCAAACCATGGTCCTCCAAGGGCCCAGCCAAGGAATGTGTAAGCACCCCTCCTCTTAGGCACCACACTTTACCCAGAGCAAGCAGAAGGTGTGCTCTAAGTATGTCATACCACTCTCCCATGGCTCACCAGCCCAGCTCTCGTGGACACTTCTACAGACGTGCAGTTGTCGCCAGGCGGGATGGCTTGTCCTGCCTGTTCCACACCGCCGCTGGCCTTAGGATCCAAAGCTGTCTGTAAAGTTTGTAGCCAGGCTTGCAGGTACAGTGTGCCAAGAGGTGAGGGCTGGCCCCCAAGCTCAGAACCAACCATGCCCACAAGGAGCAACCCAGATGCTGGACTCCTCAGCCCCAGCTGAGCACAAGGGCGAGAGACTAAGATGGGCACAGTCCTAAAGACGGGTTTCAGTAGACACTGGGCTCCATGGGAGCAAAGAAACAACAGAAGCTTTCCCTAATGGCTGCAGTTCTAGTCCACTCTCTGCTGATTGAACACTTAATGGGCCTTAGGCTGCCATTTTGGGGGACTTGGATGAACTGGAGAAAATTCAGGGGAGGTGACCAGGATGCCAAGGGGAGCGATGCTCAGTGAAGAGTTGCTGAAGAGCCCGGGACTGTCCAGCCTAGGGAAGGAAGGACTTGGGGGGAAATATGGCGGCAGGTTCCAGAAATCCAGAGGGTTGACATGCAAAGAGGGGTGATGTATGTTCTGGGTGGCCCACGAGAGAAAACCATAGCCAATGGGTGGTGTTTTCAAGGTGCCACGATTTGGAATCCACATCAGGAAGCAGTTTCTACCAGTCAAGGAGGAAATGGCTACCTAGTAAGGCACTGAGCTATTTGTCATTGGAGGTTGGCAAGCAGAGGCTGGACTCACTGGGGGGCCATGGAGGAGTCTAGCTCCGGGTGGAGGCTGGCCTCTGGGAACAGATTCCATCTAATTCTAGGACTCTAGCACTACAGATAATGGGGCTGATCTGGCTGAGCCAGACAAACCTGCTGGGCCTCACTGAGCTGGAAAACCGTCACAACTCCTTCCCCCAACCACCCACTGCAGGGAGAGGAGCCCTGCTCAGGGCCTGGCGTTCTTATCTTCACCCCCAAAAGCAAAAGGATTATCGTCACACCATTACCCATATAAGGTCTCCCAGGCAAACCAGAATGTCTGGTGTCTTGGCTTTGGATTGAAATTTTGTCAGATCACTATCGACATTCGGAGTAGACTGGTTATCATGCTGATCTGAAAATCCAGCTGGCAAGTACAGATGTCTGTGCTTAATAAAAATGGGACAAAAGTTATGACTTAATAAATGCAGTTTGTCTGGAAAACTAGGGCTTGAGATAATAAAAAGGCCATGCTGTAAAAAGCTTGGGGTGGCTGCTTCCAGCCCAAAATGCCAGCCCTAAAACTGCTATAAAACACACCATCAGCTTCTTGTGCTGACCCCCAGGCCATACTGAACTGAACCTGGCAGGCTCCTACACTTCAACGTCACCCTGGTAAATGAGAGCAGCCCCATACAGACCATGTCCCCCCGAGCTGCTTCTTTCTGCACGGCATGGTATACACTATGCACTTAAGTATTCATTGAATGAAAGAATGGTGACAGAATGGATGACCATATGAACCTGTAGCTGGGAAGGTGTGGTGGAAAAACGTGGAACTCCAGAGTTTTATACTTTTATTGAAGCTTTCAGTTTCACTGAACTTTTGGCCCCAAATGAAAAAACCACAAATTAAAAAAAAAAAACATTGGCAGTGGGAGGTGGCAACTGTCCTCTAGGGACGAAGTCAAGCAGAGAATGGCAAGCAAGTGAGGGGTCCATGCTGCAGAGGGCGGTAGCCTGGCCAAAGATGCCCAGAGAGCAGACTCCCAGCTCCCCGAGCAGGGACAGCCCCCAAGCAGCTAGAGGTTAACACACACGGACTTATGGGCATGGGGGTGGTGGAATCCAAGCCTCTGGTCCCGAGAGCAAATCTCTCTCATGCTTGGTCACATTCTACTTTGGAGAAACTGGGTTCATCTGACAAGATAGCGTGGGTGAGGGAACACAGCTGCTAATAGTAAGAGGCCCATGAACACTCACCACTGGCCTCAGGGCGTAGAAGAGAAAGCTAGAAGCTGGAGCCCAGCCTAACACTGGACACTAACGCCATTGCAGTGTCTGGCATCTCCTGCTCCTGGTGCAAGGCTATGCCATTTAAATGCTCAGGACTGTAAGGACATTCAACTCCCAGGCCTCTCCTAGGTCAGGCCCTACCTATGTGGCCTCCACCCAAGTCCCCACTATGTGGTAGCTATGACGCAGGGCTCCCAGCCTTCTTTGGGAATAGTGCTGCATCAGGCAAGGGAGAATCTTTTTCTAGGAGGGGCAGGAAAAGAAGAGAGGCCCACATGCTTCTCCTACTCTAAGGAGGCAGGAAAGGTCCCCTGGTGCACTCCCCTCTCTACAGATGGGCTGGGTCATAGCATCCGAGAAGCTGTCATGGTGACGAAGTCCTCAAAGCTGAGCCGAATGTTGCCCTGCACAGCTGTGTCCTTCTCCCGGAAGGCCTCGGTCAGCACCTGCAGCTGGGTGCACACCTGGATGAAGCGATCGAGCTGCATGGCAGGATTGGCGGAGCGCGGGCAGTAGCGGGAGACCAGGAGCTGGGTGAACTGGGGACTCAGGTTGTAGCCCATTTGGGACAGAGCTGGAGAGGAGGGGCACACAGAGCAGACACAAAGACCTGCCGTGAGCACGGCCATTGAGCAGTTCCACGGAGCACCACAGTTCAGGGCACTTCGAGGGGATCAGCACGGAAGCACAAAGAGGACAGAAGTCCCAAGGGTCTATCCAAGATGCGAGGAGTACAACAGGAGCTCTGTCTGGATGCTCCCCTTGGCTGGAAGGCCCCCATCCTCTTTCTCCACATCTCCAATACTGCCTTATCAATCAGGGGCCTGTGGGGTCCCAGAATACACCGGTCTATCTGTGCTCATCCCTGACTCGTGTGCGTTACAGAAGGAAGCCTGAGCCCCCTAGGGCCACCTTGACCAGGGCGCACATCAGAGGCGGCCCAGCATAGAGGTCACGAGGGCCTGCTCTGGAGTCAAGACACCCCCTCGGCAAGTTGCTTACCCTTGCTAATCCTCTCTCTCATCATCTCTAGAATGGGAATAATACCTACCTCAGAGGTTCTAGTGAGGATTAAAGGTGATCATGTAAAGCACCTGGCACAGTGCCCAGCACATAATAAGCACTCAGGGTTATTTATTAAAAATAATAAAATCACCATATCCCCAGGCAAGGCTGCTGGGCAGTTCCAAGGTCACAGCCTACATGCTGCTCCGCCTCTCCCTCCACCTGGGATGTCTTCTTCCTTCCTCTCTGCATAATCTACCAGCTCAGGCTAAAATCCCAGCTTCCCTTTGGCGATATGGCCCTTGGGCAAGCTACCTATACTGTTTTCTCATCCGTAAAAGGCCAATAATAAGGGACCTTTCATCTAAGGGTGGGAAATAATAAACAGTACCTACCACACAGGGAGAACGAATGATGTAACACATTCAATAAACATTCGTTTCATTGTGGTAATATCACCCTCCCCAGTCTCCACGACAGGACCCGGCAGGAGAGTAGGTGATCAGTACAGGTCATCTACCTCCTTTCGGGTCTACCAGGGTGCAGATATGGTGAGTTCACCTCCACCCACAGAGCTTCTCAGTCTGACTGAAATCCATGGCCAGGGCAAGGGGCTGGGTTCTCTGGGAAGCCCTTTCTCCCCTCCAGGTGGCAAAGCTCCCTGTGAGGTTCTCATAACCCCACTAACCACCCATCTTCTCGAGTCAGAATCGGAACCAGACCTGGAGCTGTGGCCTCAGGTCATCTTACCCAACTGCAACTTCTAGAGTGGTCTGTAGCCCAGAGTTGGGAAGAAAACTGCCTTCTAGCAGA